CATAGCGCCACTAGTTGCTATTATAAGTTATGTCCCTTTGAGTCCCTCCTACTGACCAATCAGATTCCTCCTCTCATATCACTTGCGATTGCTTCAAACAAAATGGCGGCCTCAAAGACGATGTGATTGATAATCAAGATCTATATTGTAATAAAGTGGGCCTTACCTCATGAAGTGCATCAAATAACTTGAGCACCTTGATTAAGAACATGAAAAGATTTGCAAAATATCTGTCATGGCCCAGTTGGCAGTATACATGCTTTGCAAATCCTTCAGTCGTCCGAAATCAGCATTTTGAAATCCATATGGTTGATGAACTGGATGTCTAGTTTGGTACACAATTTTGATTGGACTATGCATAAACTTGTCGGTAGAGCCAAAATATAACTCTGGAATTCCAGCCAAGTTTGGCAAGGGTGAGAACTGGACCTTTTTTAGCCAGTTAACGCCCTTGCCTTGGGAAGATGTCTGAAGGCTGTGACCATATTCATAACTTAAACCTTTCTGTTGATATTGTTACGTTTGGTGTAAAGACAAATATAACAACTGATGCTGTTTTTTATCTTTTTATTATTTTAGCAAAAACGAAATTCTAAATGCAAATTTAAAATGCTACATTGTATATACATGTTAGTTAAACAGAAATATCTTATTGAAAAGGAAATAAAGTTACTGAAACATTGTACAAATACATTTCAAATCATTTGAATATTATGTCATTGAAACATGCATAAATGCATGTGAGTAATAATAAAGTGGTATTATGTTTAGATAACAAGCTTTAAGCTGTATGGCTCACCTAAGAGTGAATGTGTATGGATATAAATGAACGTTGGTATGTTTCAAACTGCTTGATGAAAGCTGTGTAGTGTGAATAGACAGCAAATGGGGACTATTTTGGTATTAAAACATCCACTTGTCCCAATTCCTGTTCAGTGCTATATGGAAAGACCAATACCACAGGGATTTTTTTGGGACAAGATTTGTGTGATTTCCTCGGAAATTCACAGTTCTCTTCTTCAAGCATTTTCTATGAGAGGAAATGTTGCTGAAGTATTAATAACATACCTCAGGGTACATATACTAGCCATGAATGAAAGGTGCTGCTAACCACAATGGCAAACTACTATTTAGGAGCCACATGACTTGTATCACTGCCCATGCATATTTACTATGTCATCTCAATATATGAATATATCCCATTAGGTTTATGCAGAAACTTCTCCCACAGTCTTTATCAGTCAGATGTATGCCTGGTCTTTGCAGTGACTATGTATGAAGAAAATGTAAATGTAACTTGTGGAATATGAATGTTTAGTATAAAAAAAGTATATAAATCCACACACCCAACAATGTACACTCTCACCAACCCACACATCCAACAATCCACACACCCAACTATCCACACACCCAACTATCCACACATTCAACTATCCACACATTCAACAATTCACACACCCAACTATCCACACATTCAACAATCCACACATCCAACTATCCACACACCCAACTATCCACACATCGAACAATCCACACACCCAACTATCCACACATTCAACAATACACACACCCAACTATCCACACACCCAACTATCCACACATCGAACAATTCACACACCCAACTATCGACACATTCAACAATTCCAACACCCAACTATCCACACATTCAACAATTCCAACACCCAACTATCCACACATTCAACAATTCCCACACCCAACTATCCACACATTCAAAAATTCACAAACCCAACTATCCACACATTCAACAATTCCCACACCCAACTATCCACACATTCAACAACTCCCACACCCAACTATCCACACATTCAACAATCCACACACCCAACTACCACACATTCAACAATTCCCACACCCAACTATCCACGCATTCAACAATTCCCACACCCAACTATCCACACATTCAACAATCCACACACCCAACTATCCACACATTCAACAAGTCACACACCCAACTATCCACACATTCAACAATTCATGCACCCAACTATCCACACATTCAACAATTCACGCACCCAACTATCCACACATTCAACAATCCACACACCCAACTATCCACACATCCAACAATCCACACAATCAACAAGTCACACACCCAACTATCCACACTTTCAACAATTCCCACACCCAACTATCCACACATTCAACAATTAATACACCCAACTATCAACACATTCAACAATTCACGCACCCAACTATCCACATATTCAACAATCCACACACCCAACTATCCACATATTCAACAATCCACACACCCAACTATCCACACAATCAACAATTCACGGACTTCTTCGTGGTTAGTGGTAGAGCGTCCGCCCGGAGAACGGAAGGTCCGGCCGCGTCATACCAAAAGATGTTTAAAGATGGTACTTGTTGTTACCCTGTCTGGCGCTCGGCATTAAGGGGCTAAAACAAGGACTGGTCAGCTCGGAGTCAGTATACTGTGTCTGAGTGGGATATTCATGTTAAACAGGGGCATGGTATCTCAGTGAGCTAGCACTATAAATCAGTGTCAGTTCGGACTAGTACAAGCAGCCACACACACACACACACATACATGCACTTCGCTATATAAGTGCAATAATCTTGGACGTGACGTTAAACCCCATTTTACCTCACCTCACAATTCACAAACCCAACAATTAACACACCCAACAATTTAGGCACCCATCTATGCACACATTCAACTATCCACACATTCAACAATTCACGCATCCATCTGTCCATACATTCAACTATTCACGCACCCATCTATTCACACATTCAACAATTCACGCACCCATCTATCCACACACCCAACTATCCACACATTCAACTATCCACACATTACAAGTCACACGCAACTATCCACACATTACAAGTCACACACCCATCTATCCACACACCCAACAATCCACACACCCAATAATCCACACACCCAACTATCCACACATTCAACAATTCACACACTCAACTATCCACACATTCAACTATTCACAAACCCAACTATCTCCACATTCAACCATCCACACATTCAACAATTCACACACACAACTATCTACACATTCAACAAGTCACACAACCAACTATCCACACATTCAACAATTCACAAACCCAACAATTCATGCACCCAACTATCTACACATTCAACAATTCACACCCAACTATCCATACATTCAACAAGTCACACACCCAACTATCCACACATTCAACAAGTCATACAACCAACTGTCTACACGTTCATCAAGACTGTTCATACAAGCAAAACCTAATTGAGTATATGACCCTCCTTGAAGACTAATTAGTGTTCTACACCCTTACTCTCATTAATGTTGGGATCACAATTACCCTTTACCTTCAAAGAGGCCTATGAGGAGATGACGAGACGACCTAATATAGCTCATCTGGTTACTGAACACCTGAGCTGCCAATTGTCGTGCTCCGTGTCTGGGATCTCTTCTCTTGTCTTTGGTCTCGGAAACAACAGAAACAATAAAACTGACATTCAGTATGGTTCGTGCCACAAACATTCTCTTCCAGCTTAATTTTGATTTGAATGCCATCATGGCCGTCACTGCAGCCATTTTGAAAATCCCATTTGGGGCTGTAAGTCCACAGACCATAGAATGCATTTCCTGGCTCTGATTTTATTATACAAGCCTTCATGACAAAGCTGGAATATTGCTGACAAAAGCACACACAAAGAAATTCACAAAGGACACCAGTCCAGCACAATTCCTACAGGACATATGACTGAGTTAGTTCCACTTTGAAGGTGGCATGACCCAATGATCAGGAGCCATAATGGCAGATCAAGTTTCTCAGCTTTGATATAAATCAAGTTAACCCAAATGTCCAGCTCCCTTGTGTCATGTAATGGCCTGTGTAAGTCCAGGCTGCAGTGGTACGATGACAACCGGTGTGGACGTGTGATGCACAGATTTCCCTGTCCTGATCTCACCTCCATCGCATCCATCATGCTCTCTGCTCTGACATTGCAGTAATGGATTTTGCATTTTTGCGATCTATGAGATAGATTCTAGATAATACCACATGCATCATAATTTGAGAAGACGACAAGAAAATGTACCGGTAAAATGTCACCTGACCAGGTTTAGTTTATGTTGTGGCTGGTAATGTCTCTCTTACATGCAAACACAAGCAGACAATTCTTTCCTCCAACAGAACATAATATGTTTTTCTGAAACTGTTCTTGACATTTTTATAATTCCAAATATGTATGAAATATTAGATTGACAGATGCTTAAAACAAGTAATTACCCTTACTGAAAGCTGGTTTCTTACGTTATACCTGCTGTCAAAGTCTGATGAGTCGATTTATCAAACTTTGGTGAAAATAGGTCCCCCGTCCTCCATGCTGGTTGTAAGTACCGGGTCCTCCATGCTGGTCGTAAGTCCCCTGGCCCCCATGCTGGTCGTAAGTGCCCAGTACTCCATGCTGGCTGAGAGTCTCCAGTACTCCAACCTGGTCGTAAGTCCCCAGTACTTCATGATGGTCGTAAGTCCCCAGTAATCCATGCTGGTTGTAAGTCTCCCATCCTCCATGCTCGTGATAAGTCCCCCGTCCTCCATGCTGGTTGTAAGCCCCCAGTACTAAATGCTGGTCGTAAGTTCCCTTGCCCCCATGCTGGTCGTAAGTGCCTTGTACTCCATGCTGGCTGAAAGTCCCCCAGTCCTCCATGCTGGTCGTAAAACCCCCGTTCTCCATGCTAATCGTAAGTCCCCAGTACTTCATACTGGTCGTAAGTCCCCTGTACTCCATGCTTGTCGTAAGTCCCCTGTACTCCATGCTGGTTGTAAGTCACCCGTCCTCCATGTTGGTCGTAAACCCCCGTTCTCCATGCTGATCGTAAGTCCCCTGTACTCCATGCTGATTGTAAGTCCCCTGTACTCCATGCTGTTTGTAAGTCCCCCATCCTCCATGCTGGTCGTAAGCCCCCCGTCCTCTATGCTGGATGTAAGTCCCCAGTACTCCATGCTGGTCATAATCCCCTGTCCTCCATGCTGGTCGTAAGCCCCCGTCCTCTATGCTGGATGTAAGTCCCCAGTACTTCATGCTTGTCGTAAGTCCCCAGTAATCCATGCTGGTCGTAGGTCCCCAGTACTCCATGCTCTTCATAAGTCCCCAGTACTTCATGCTGGTCGTAAGTCCCCCGTCCTCCATGCTGGTCGTAAGTCCCCTGTCCTCCATGCTGGTCGTAAGCCCCTAGTTCTCTATGGTGGTTGTAATTAAAAATCCCCAGTTCTCCATGCTGGATGTAAGTCCCCAGTAATCCATGCTGGTCGTAGGTCCCCAGTACTCCATGCTCTTCATAAGTCCCCAGTACTTCATGCTGGTCGTAAGTCCCCTGTCCTCCATGCTGGTCGTAAGCCCCTAGTTCTCTATGCTGGTTGTAATTAAAAAACCCACAGTTCTCCATGCTGGTTGTAAGTCCCCCATCCTCCATGCTGGTCGTAAACCCCTGTTCTCCATGCTGGTCGTAAGTCCCCCGTTTTCCATGCTGGTTGTAAGTCCCCAGTCCTCCATGCTGGTCGTAAGTCATCCGTACTCCAACCTGGTCGTAAGTCCCTAGTTCTCCATGCTGCTTATAAGTCCCCAGAACTCAATGCTGGTGTTAAGTCCTGAGTCCTCCATACTGGTCGTAAGTCCCCCGTCCTCCATACTGGTCGTAATTCCCCAGTCCTCCATGCTGGTCGTAAGTCCCGAGTCCTCAATGATGGTCATAAATCCCCAGTCCTCCATGCTGGTCATAAATCCCCCATCCTCCATGCTGGTCGTAAGCCCCCAGTCCTCCATGCTGGTCATAAATCCCCCATCCTCCATGCTGGTCGTAAGTCCCCAGTCCTCCATGCTGGTCGTATGGAGCAAACACTTGTTACTTTATTATTTCTTTACATGTTTGTCTTGAGAACAAACTTACGAGTATTGAGTGGTGACTGTATGTGACCTGTCATCTTGTGTGTCCTTGTGCATTATTGGTAACATCACCTCTTATGTAGTCACCCACTGGGGAGCAAGGTACAGACTTGTCATCTGCAGAACATCCGGATATTGCTGTAAAAATTGCTGACAGACAGTCATGATATAGCTGGAAAATTGCTGACAGTCATGATATAGTTGGAATATTACTGACAGACCATCATGATATACCGGTAGATTGAATTTTACTGACAGACCATCGTGATATAGCTGGAATATTACAGACAGACCATCATGATATAGCTGGAATATCACTGACAGACCATCATGATATAGCTGGAATATCACTGACAGACCATCCTGATATAGCATCGTGATATAACTGGAATATATCTCACAGACCATCATGATATAGCTGGAATATTACAGACAGGCCATCGTGATATAGCTGGAATATCACTGACAGACCATCATGATATAGCTGGATTATTGCTGACAGACCATCATGATATAGCTGGATTATTGCTGACAGACCATCATGATATAACTGGAATATTAGTGACAGACCATCGTGATATAACTGGAATATTACTGACAGACCATTGTGATATAACTGGAATATTACTGACAGACCATCGTGATATAACTGGAATATTACTTACAGACCATTGTGATATAGATGGAACATTACTGACAGACCATGGTGATATAACTGGAATATTACTTACAGACCATTGTGATATAGATGGAACATTACTGACAGACCATCGTGATATAACTTGAATATTAACTGACTACAGGGTAATACAAGATTCACTCCCTCAATCACTTCAAGCTTGCCTTCAAGAGAGCCAGCACAAGCATTCACCATGTTCACAGACCTGTGCAGTGAAAATAATCACATGATGAGAAAGATATTAATCTGCAATTTTCAACACACTGGTAACTTTGGAGCAACAATGCATCTGGGTGGTTATGCCAGGTGCGCCGCCCCATGTGTTGTGTTTGTCAGTGTTGCAGCAGCCACACAACACCCAACCCTCACAAGCCAGCCCTCACCATATCTACCATGCAAGGCAAATATGTAGCTGGAAACAATGTCATCTTTGCCAGACCAGATATAAAAAACTAGATATGATGACTGTGCTTCTGATGAACCAATGCCTTCAATTTGCCTAAACACTGTGTTCTTGTATCACTGCATATTCTAAATCTCTCCTATCATTTTGTAATAAACAGCATTTTCTTCATAAATTGTCAGTTCTTAGGATGTTATTTTTAATTAACAATTCTTACGATTCCTCTACCTCTATTACATCATTGACAGAATCCTGTATTTTGGCAGCAATCACACAATAACTAAAATTTAAGATTTTCCACAGAAGTCCTCCGCACTGTCAACTACAAATGATTAGTTGTTCCTCTAATAGCACATACGTCTCTCCTGTGTGCAAAGCGGGAAAAACGACATTTCTTTCTCGTGTGTGCTAGAGGACACATCTATTAGGATTAGTCTCCAACTGCTTGCTCCGTCACTACTTGTTTCAGAATTTTCTCCTTTATAATATACTGTATTGGATATATATAGAAGTCATTTACTCTTAATTATTTCATCTGGTCATTTCGCATAAGTATTACTGATTGAGTGTGTGCATGCACGTCTCCCCTGGTGTCGACGGCCTCCCCCCACCCACCCGTCCTCTTTTATGTCATTTTATGTTTGACCCGTGAAGATCCGGTGGAGAATAGGTCTTCAGTGGCCAAAGCTCAAAGCTCACAGCTCTTCATTTCCGTCTAAGTGCCTATGTGATGCTCCTCAGGACGCTGGTTTCAACGAACCACCACGGAAGAAGCTTTGTCCCTTCGGGAAAGGATTCCTTTCAAACTAACAGATCCCAATGGCCAACGGATTCTTTTCGCCAACCAGAGTACAAACACCAAGGTTCTGGTAGAAGAGAATTCAAATCTGCCGGCCGTTGGGACGACAGATTGTGACTCTACCCCTTATCATTACCGCTACAAACCCTACAGATTACGATCCTCATCTCCCTTCCTTCAACATCAAGCCAACTCTGGATCCAGTTGGAGGACATTCATCGTTTTTCGCCAACAATTGGAAACTGATCATGTCCGACCACTGGATCCTGGACGTGGTTACTCACTTGTGCCAGCTGCATTTCCGACGTCATCCGGCTCTTGTATCCCGGCCTATAGGCTGCCAATTCCAGCGAGAAGATCCCAAATTAGACGCAGCCAACCTCGCCATCAAAACACAATTGGACAAGCATGCCATTCGGAGATTTCAAGATACTAATGACATCAGCATATTTTTTATCTCGGATGTCTCTATTTCGAAGCTTGACGTCACTCCACAACAGAGTGGTCTCAAGTTGCCAATTGGGGTCGCACAACTTGTTTACTAGTTTTTGCTTACATGATGTACAACCGAATTTAGGGCGTATTTATTGACTTGGTCACTAGTCACAGCCCAAACTATAATACTGCAATAGTTTTCCCTCCTCCTATGGATAAAGAGGTAGGGGAGAATCCAACACTGGCAGCATCAGAAGATAAGTAGACCTTTTGCTCATCTTTAACTATTCAGTGTAGGACAGACCAAGACCACATTTCATATCACATTGTACCTCAAGCTTGTTATCAAGATGTTCAAATAGGATTACTGTCAACTATACAGGGAATGTACTAGAGGCAGAACCCGCCTTTTCCCTCTGGTATATTCTTGCGATGATGTAAGAGTGGTAGAGGATTCATAAGAATTATCAAACAATAGTTATCATTGTTAATAAGTCTAAGAATACTAACCTCTTACCTCAGATCTACTCCCTCCCACCTTCCCAATGATCTGTCTCTAGTAGATTGATGTTTGGAAAAGAACTGACATTTTTCCTGCCTCGCACTCATGATAGCTGTATGTGCTCTTTGGGGAACAACTAATTATGTGTAGTTGACAGTGAAGAGAACATTTGTTGAAAATCTGAAATTTTGGTTATAGTGTGATTGCAGCCAATATACAGGATTTACGGCAATGATGTAATAGTGGTAGTACTATTATTTGATATCTACACAAATTGGCCTAAAAAGAAAAACGTAATACATTGGTTCTGGCTTGCTCTGGCGTGGATTATGATCAAAGAAATTCTCTTGTACTTTACCGGTACATGTGTAGATACATTTATTTGGCTGAACATTGATCTCCTAAAACGACAGCCTGTGCAAAAATGAAACCTGCTGACACAGCACGATCTCAAAGGTCATGTATCCATGGAAATGGTTTTATATATTTCTGTCGTCCTGGAAAGCTGAAGTGCTCCAGTGTGAGAGGTTATACAGATTCGATGGATGAGTTAATCATAATGAAAAACAGCTGCTGAATAAAATAAATCATTTTGTAGGAATTGTCTGGCTACAGGCTAGAGATATGATGCATGATATTTGTCCATTTTTCCATTTTCAATTTACGTGTGTTAATTTGCAAGGCCTCATACATAAATGTATGCCATAACTGTTGTGACTTCATGAGAAAAATATTGAATTGTTTGAAAGAGCAGGGAAACTGTGAGATATGTGATTCCTTTCTGTGAATATGTTGATCCTGCTGTGGAGCACCCTGCGAGGTTGTCGGTGGCCTGCCACAATCTGTATTCATATTGTATACTTTATTGACTCTATTCCATTGTTGTAAATATGAGATAAACCATCTGTGTTTTGAAATTTGATATCCCTTATTTTATTTGGAACCAAGTGCTTTAGCAATGGTATTTCCATCAGCAATGGTAATTTCAACAGCAGTAGTAATTTTAACAGCAATAGTAATTTCAACAGCAAGAGTAATTTCAACAGCAATGGTAATTTCAACAGCAATAGTAATTTCAACAGCAATAGTAATTTCAACAGCAATAGTAATTTCAACAGCAATAGTATGACATCAGCTCATTTTGACGTAACTCGAAAAGTGTACTTTATCGCAGGATAAGGTACAGCACCTTTGATCTTTTAGCGTACATCTTAGAATCAACTTTATGAACTCTATTCCGTTGTTTTAATTAACTTTATCTATCAACAAGATCAACTCTATTCTGTTGTTTTAGTTAACTTTATCAACTCTATTCCGTTGTTTTAATTAACTTTATCAACTCTATTCTGTTGTATTTATTAGCTTTATCAACTCTATTCTGTTGTATTTATTAGCTTTATCAACTCTATTCTGTTGTATTTATTAGCTTTATCAACTCTATTCCGTTGTTTTAATTAACTTTATCAACTCTATTCTGTTGTATTTATTAACTTTATCAACTCTATTCTGTTGTATTTATTAGCTATATCAACTCTATTCTGTTGTTTTAATTAGCTTTATCAACTCTACTCCGTTGCTTTAATTAACTTTATCAACTCTATTCCGTTATTTTAATCAACTTTATCAACTCTATTCCGTTGTTTTAATCAACTTTATCAACTCTATTCTGTTGTTTTAGTTAACTTTATCAACTCTACTCCGTTGCTTTAATTAGCTTTATCAACTCTATTCTGTTGTATTTATTAGCTTTATCAACTCTATTCTGTTGTTTTAATTAGCTTTATCAACTCTATTCCATAGTTTTTATT